AAATAGTTTAAGTGGCTATCTAGTACTTACAGAATCCAATAATTTATGTTGCATATTTACCTAATTTACTCAATATCCTAGCAAAAAAAAACCCAAAAACAAAACAGATAACCCATGGAAAGAGTTGGACTCCACAGTCAGTTGATAATTTATTTGTAAAGTGCACTATGAAATATGAAATGGTTGTAACAACATAAAAGGCACCATGATTATTTTAACTAAGTTCACATCATTAGATTTTCTTTAATAACAGCTTAAATTAAAATGGGACAAATATGAAATTAATCTTGGCAGAAATAAAAGTATGATGTAAATTTTGTCCTTATTTTGGTAATGAAGCACCACAAGAAACAACCTAACTGGAAACATTAGTTACTCTGCCCCTTCGCCTCTCTCACTAAAGCGTCACTTTAGTACGGATGGGTGACCCCCTTTGTAACATCTGAAGACTAATTGTTGATCCAACTGGTTGGTATGTGGAACTGTCCTAAAATTCTAGTTTCTCCCCCATTCCATGCCTCTGTTACTTCTCTCTTTGTCCCTCCCCCAAGGAGTGGGAGGAGGTTGAAGCCACTAGCTACAATTAACTTTGTAATGTATAAAAAAAAATTAGTATGTAAAATAAAAAAGACATCATCAAAGGTTACACCCAAATGTCATTTAGCATAGAAATGATCACATGACTCAGAAGAAGGAAGCAAGCACTTTAGAGATTTGTTTTTAAAAAGCTGAGTTTCCCTTAGGAAAACTTGGAAAATACAAAACCAAGGTAGAAGAAAGGGAGAGCAGGTGGCTGAATGAAGCTGGAGAAAGAAATCATTGATCTATTTTGTAAAGACCAAGGATTGATTTTTTTTTTCTGGTTGTAGCTTAATCCAATAAAACAGTCCTTAGAAATTCTTTATACAATGGGATTCACCAATTTATATTCTGCATACCTCAGAAATATAGACAAACGCTTATTAATTTGGTAACTATTTGTACTCTATTAAACAATTACTTTTGACAAAAGTATTACCACGATGGCTTCAGCACAGTAAATACTGCTCAACCTGAACCTAGTATGCCTGTTTAATTTACTCACACAGTGAGACCTAAAAGCTCATAATAAATATGTACAACCATGAAAGAAAAAAATGTATTTGAAAAAATACACTCCAGACCTAACAGAAATATAAATGAAGGCTTCCCAATATAACCAGGCTAGAGTGCATTGCGACTTACATAACTCACCGAGAATTTAGAAGCTCTGTCTTTTCACATTGGCACTCATGGAAAAGATACCATTTGATACAATCTCTCCTCAGTAAAACCTCAAAAGGCCCTTAAGTGATCTTTACCTTCTTACTAATTTATCTACTACAATGTGCATTTCATCTACATTTGTGCAAAGTATATTTAAGAACAAGTCGTAAAATTTATAAACGTTAATAATATATGGAAAATGGTCAAAGTATCTGTAGCAGAAATAGACAAAACAAAATAACATTATGAATACAGTTAAATTGTCAATTAAAGTATACAGGGATTAGCCAAAGAAATATTACAAGAATTTCATTAAGAGGTGACTAATGGCTTGTTACACATTTCAGTATTAGTCATTCCATACTAAATTGATACACCTGAGTACACAATTGCTCAAATTTCTCATAAAACCAATCATACTGATCTTTAAAAAGAGGAAACGATTCTGCCATAAAGGTAACAACATGTAAGCACAAAAGTATATGCTCAAAAGCAAATCACATCCAGAAATCATTTTATATAAATGGATCTCAAGAAACAGTAAGCTCAAAATGCCACTGGAACACCCACTGTCAGAATCTTTGGAAGGCGGGAAAAAGGTAAAACAGTAAACAAGTACCTTTCAAAAGAAAAGGCTAATTGTGGCCCAAATAAGCCTACTTACTCTTTCCTTCATGGTTCATCTCCTTCTCAGAAAAATACCTAGCCTGACATTAATAAGCAAAATGAGAGAGGGACAAAATGTGTTTCACTCAGCCCACGATCCTACAATTTTTCAATTTTATTACTTTTATAAAACTTGACACAGATATGACCAATAAAGAGAGATGTCTAAATCTACTTAAGTTTTAGTAGCGTCATTAAATACCCATTACCATAACCCTCTACTCCAGGAAGACTCAGTCTGTAAGTCCATCTTGCATTATTCTTTTCTCTAACCATCTACCTCTCAGGAAAGGGTCAACTTGTAAAAATTTCACCAGTATCCCTAAAAGCTCTAACTCCACTGAAATCCCTTTAATTCTCTCCAGTTATTTTCTGCGATGTACACCATTTAATGCTGAGGTGAAACATGGTAGGGGAAAATCAAATTATTCAGAAGCATGCCTGCTTCGATTATGCTTATGTTAATCTCACTGAACTTTAAAGTGTACTGTTAAAATTAGAAGTTCATTTTACTAAGAATGGATCTGAGCATCAATAACCTTTACCACCAATGAACTTAAACCTTAAAAACAAAACAGGAAATCTTAATCATGATATTCATAACTTTACAATTTAATGTGCTAACCTGATATCATGGTGCACTGTTAGAGTTGTAGAAATTGCTTTATCCAGAAATACAATATGAAGTAGTTTTTAATTGACATTCTGGGGGGAAATATTTTAGTTATTTAAAAATTCAAATTAGGAAGCACGCTTTTTAAAAAACTTCCAAGCGATGTTACTAGAGGCACTACTATTTTTTTATCTAAAGTCAGAGAGTATTCCATCAAGCTGTTGCCTCAGCATGTTGATTTAGTGGCTGGTGACTCAGGGTCACTGATGATAGCTAATGTTTGGCAACCACCATGCATCATATATAGAGAGCAACCAATTTTAGTTCTGCCAGGGCTGCTGCTTGGAAACAATAGAAGAATTCAATAATGGTCAGAAAGGAAACATTGTCCCAATTTATTTGGGTGAAGCTTGGTTCTGGGCTATCACAGTTCCCAGTGCTAACGGTAAAACTTTCAAGCATTGCCCATGTCCCGTTAGGGTATTCTACCATGCTAAAAGACACTAGTGATTAAAATCCAAATCAGCTGTCAGTATAAAATTAATCACTTCCTGGACATGGAAGAACCTCTGAAGTGCCACATCATCATAGCTTTGCCTACCTCTGTAAAGACAGAGGCTCAACAAACGTGAACATTTTATATGTCATTAAATGTAAAAGGTAAAGCACTAAAATTATTGAATGATTTAAGGGTGAGACTTATTGTTCATATCCCAGATTTTATAAGCCTTAATGAAAACTCATAGTGCACGGAAGTTCATTTTTGGTTACATTATTTTTTCTTTTAATAAGTGAAAAGTTTTATGATGGTTTTTAGGGCAAGGAATTTCCTAAATGTATTGTTTTTCCTCATATAATCACATGCTTATAAATCAATTTAATAGCTCTCTATAGATAATCAAATCAACTGTAATTACTCTTTTATGAAAGTCAACTAAATGAAAGCCATCGTCAAAAACTTAAGATTGGAAAATTTAAAATACAGCACATTTCTTAACGTTTGAAAAACACAGTTTATGCAATAAGAAACTATTTAAATTTCCTTGTTGGAAATATCTTAAACCCCTAATTCAGAAAGGAAAGTCAAAATGTTTTCTCCAAAATAAGAGACAACTAATTTTTGAGTACTAGATTGGTCGTCACTACTCACAGTCAGTGCAGAGTAACTACCCATCTCGTAGGCTAAACAAGAACAAAGGTGATTTTTTTCCCTCTTAAGCTATAATTAGAAAAATATATCATAGTCTAAATCTAATTTTTCCCCAATATAAGCTTCCTACACATGGAGGAAAGCAATGCCTTTTTGTATGTCAATGTCAGGATAACGTCAGAGACAAGGAATGGTAAAGAGTTATAAGGATGTAGCTCAGTGAAAGACTACATCGGAAACATTATTTATATGAGCTTTAAGTAAAATCTTCTCAAAGGACTAGTTAATAGGAACAGTAAGATCACTAATAGTTAAAAAAAAGTTGATGAGACTACATAAAGAAAGGACTCTGTTTTCTTCCCAAACAAAACAAAACAAACCCCTAGTGATTAGTCAGCCTTCTATCACTACAATCCATTTTCTTTTCTTTCACACCTAAAATAGACATACAAGCCAGCATTTACGGACTTGAAGATGAGGGCACAGTGTAACGAACCTAAGCCTACCGGTACATTTATCTTAACTTACATGGTTTTTTTTTCAATGATTTTATTCTAAGGGACCTTTGTGAGGTTAGACAGAAATGTCAGTCTATGTCTACCTTACTGAGAAAAAAGAAGAGTCATACATGGTGCTTGCTAACTGCAGCCTGAAAATTCTAATCATGAATTACCTATCAGAGTATCTGCAGGACCATCTCAAAGCAACATGCACCAGTTCCTTCCTTAAAGAGGCTGGGAAGCAGGCACCAATTGTCTGCTTTAGTGTACTCTAGGCTGTGGTCTAGGTCACTACACATTGCATAGCTTTAACCATTTCAAAACTCAGAAGGTTCAGGGGGAATAACAGCGCTCAGTTTTACTACTTCCTATTCTTAACCCTTTACCTGAAAGGGAACACTTCACACAGGACACATATAGCAAAGCACTTTTAACTATGCAGGCATTTCCATCTAATAATGTATTCTAAAGCAGCTAAATTAATATGCACAATAAACATATTATATGTCTAGATATCATATTTTCTTGATTTCATGTCAGCTTTACTTAAGATACTTGTTACTGAGCAATTTTGACTTAAAGTATTCACATAAAATCTTCAATACTGACCAGTGAGAAACTATTACTATTTAACCAAACACCCAAAGTGCTTTTGTACAGGTGAGTCCTTTAGATTTTCTAACATGCCTACTTTCAAAAGACCATTTCTACTCAGTAATTTGAAAAAGTATACAAGTCTCTAGAAAACACAATCTGATAAACGGATTCAAAAATGTATCAAACTTATCTTAAGCGTATCATTCTGATGAAACAGAAAGGCACTTACCTTGAATAGCCATTAGAAAACACCGATCGACCTGGGAAGTTCATAGTCCCCAAGGAAGCTAGGTTATCCTCTCCAGATCCCTGGCACCTATTCCAGTTTTCAGAACCAACAGGAATTGGTGGAATGACATTAAAAACAGGCTTCTGATCCTGCTGTTCAGAAAGGGATGCTGCGTTCATGTCATAGTGGTACATCTGTCCTCCAGAGGTACTCACGCCATGAACAGAAATGGCAGAGATTTTATTACCAATTATATTTGTCCCAGAAAAGCTTGCCTGACAATAAACTGGGCCCAGTTTCTCTTGCTTAATTACCCCGGGGGTGCAAAGTTCAATGAAATCATCTTTTTCTGTTTTCACTTGGGGCAGCGTCACACTGCTGGTGCTTGGTAAGATCGGATCTCCAGTATCCTTAATTTTCGGTTTAGTGTCCGGTACAACAAAAGGCTTACAGTCCTCATTAGCATCCCCTTCCAAAAGGAATGGATCATCATCTCCAGTCAAAGGAGAGAGCAAGTTTTCGTCTATCAACAGGTCTGACCTCCAAGGACTCTCACTTGTATCTTTACCTGGGGACCCAGCAGAAAACTCCAAATCCTGTAAGATGTCAAAGGTGCTTTGGTCTGTGGTATACAGCTTCACATTGCCACCATTGGTGCCAGGCTGGCTTTTTAGATTTTGCTGTTCTGAAGATGCATCAGAGTGAGTTTTGGGAAACTCCTTCTCTGGAGGGGCAGCACACCCAGTAGCAGATGTTGAGCTCTTGGGGTTCTCTGGAACACTGGTTGACCTATTGAGGTTTGCAATACTTTCTTCCAGAAGCCGAAAGTCTGTTTCCCCAGAGGACAGGTTAGTCTGGCCCTGCTGTGGGTACCCCAAGTCATTTCCCATCACTTTTGTTTCTGTCTCCCCCATATACAGGCCCATGGACAGTGAGACGGCTTTGGACAAGTCAGGCTGCTGCGCATTGCTTGTTGAGCCTTTTGGAAAATCAAGGAGAAGCCGCTGCTGCTGCTGCTGCTTGGAATCTGTCTGAGAAGCAGCAGCCAGTGAGGACAAAGATGCAGAAACCTTCACAGTAGCTCCTCCCCTTAGGCTTTTATGAAAGTCCATCACGTTTCCCCTCTCCAGGACAAGTAAACTGCTGGGGACTTCTCTACCAGGGGGAGCTAAGGATTCTTTGGAGTCCATTGGCAAATATTAACTAGAAAAAAGAGAGAGAGAGGGCATAATAAGCTATAAAATCACATTATCTCTGATCCGATTAGTGAGAGACAGCCTATTAAATAAACCCTTTAGGTAACTCCCAAATCAAAGTCTCCATTATCAGAAGAATAGTTTCAATCTTCTAAAATCAAGCTATATCCCCTGCTCCCATCCAGTGTGCTCCATTTAAAACGCACGAAGCAGCTCATTTGCAAGGACAAAGTTATCCTGAATTGATTTGAATTTGGCTGTTTATCCTGTTCACTCCATGTGTAGCTTTGGCAACCATAGGAATTGTAATTTGTTATCAGTGATTATTCTAAAGGTTCAAGTTGATGTCAAAGTATCTCTTTTTTTTTAATAAAAACCATGATCCTTATAATTCCAACCCCTTTTCAATCAGTGGTGACTGCCTTTCTGGAAACCAACACATAAAACATTTGATAAACGCTACCCTAGAATTGTTTGTACCTTATGATTCACAATTCCATCTTGTGCCAATCCCCCTACATCTAACCCTTTCAAGGTACAACCTCCTGGTGAATTATGCATATTTTATTTGAAAAAAAAACAAACATCGCTGTTCTTCTTATCTCGTCATAGGCTAGGGAAATGCTCTTACTTTTTTAACCTTCATTTCCCACTCTAAGTACCTGTTTAGTAGCCTCAACCTTCAAACGTTGGATATAAGAAATGATATATATTGTATATAGCCTAAAATGTATATTTTAAAAAGCAGAGTAGAATTTGTACTGCTTCTTCACTACAGTTTAAACTTATTTAAATAGTTAAACAGAGCAGAACTTACCAAACTCCTAACACCGAAATTGAGTTATATTTCTTTCTAAAAATTGCTTAATGCACTCAATACAAAATATTTTATCTCTAGATTTAAGATTTTTTTCTTTCCAAATATGGGGATACTAGGGAAAATAGAAAAACTGGACTGTGGGATCATGTATAAATTCAAGTAAAACCCATCCAAGAAAATGCTCAGAAAAATTTTCTCTGCAGTTTTTAACCTTCACTTATTTAAACTGTATTTCTCCAGATCATTAGTATACTACTAATAAACAAAATGTTTTAAGAGGTTGGCAAAGACTACGGTAAGTATATTTGGGTAAACTTTTCCTGTACCAAGACAGTAAGAACTATGACCATCTTCACTGAAAGGGGAATGTAAGGAAGGTGGAGAGGGTGGAACCTGCCCTAGGAATCTTCCCTGTACGTGGTTTCTCTCTCAGAACCCACCCAGGTCCTGTGCATCCTACAAGGATCTCTAGCCACGAGATAGCAAATGGCCCCTAATGAATTTCCACACCCGCTTTTTTTTTCTTGACAGCTACCTTTCAAGCCTGAAACCGTAACAATACTTCATAAAAACGAGATGCTCCCTTAAGCGACATGTATACCCCAGTTAAAACTGTAAATAACCCTGGGACAGTAGTTGGCCCTGACGAACTATGCCAAGGGTCTTCAGTGGTAAGGCCGCAATGATCAAGCCTTCAACCTCAAACATCAAAGGAGCACTTGTCAAAAATCCCTGCACAAAATAAAACTGCGGCTAGGGAGGGTCTCTTTCTAAAAAGGGACCACTCAGAAAAGTCGGGCGCGAAATCGTGCCCCAAAGCTAGTGCACAAGTCGTCGGGGGGTGGGGTGGGGGGAGAAGGAGGGAGAAAGGTGCGAGTTGAAGGGAGAAATGTGTCCAGACCTGTTGAGTTCTCTGCGGCACGCCCACTTCTAGCAGATAAGGCCGGGCGGGCGAAGTCTGGGCTGCAGGCTGCGAGCCCCGAGTCCACCCCACAAGCCCGCAGCCCGCAGCCGCCGCGCGCCCTGAGCCTGCGGATCGCAGACGCCGCTCTGCCTCCCCCCCCCCACTCCCCGCCCCGGGAAAAGCGGGGGGTCCGGGCGGTCCCCGAGGACAGCGAAGAACGGAGGGCTGGCGGCAAAAGCAAAACCAAAAAGGACGCCAGACTCCCGCCGGGGCGCGTGAGGCTTCCACCGCGGGGCAGCGCGCCGGGCCAGGGATGGCGGTGCGGGGAGAGGAAGCGCCGGCGCTGTCACCGCCGAGGCCCTTTCGTCACCGTCACCCTGCCCTCGCCAGCCTCCATCTCCAACCCCGGGCTGACAAAAGTTTGCCAAGTCCCGCCGCCCCGGCTGCCGAGCCCCTCGGGGAGCGCCGCCAGCAGCCCGGCTCACCTCGGCGCGGGCGCCCCGCTGCCCAGCCCCCGCTCACCTCGGCACCCGCGCGCTCGCTCGCTGGCTCGCTCGCCCGCCCGCCCGCGGCTCCCACCGCAGCGGGATAAACAAGTCAGCGTGCGGACGCGGGAGGCGCGCGTGTCACGGAGAAGGAAGTCAACAGTCGCCCCCTCTTCTCCATGGGGGGAGGGGAGAGCCCCTAAGCGCGGAAAGTCGCCCGTCCCCGGCTGACAAGCCGAGCCCCGCGCCGCTCCCGTCTCCCGCGCGCGTCCCCCGTCCCGGCGCCGCGCCGCCCGGCTGCGGCGTCTCGTTCCACCCACTTAGAATCCGTCCCCGACGGGCGGGCGGCGACTCGGGGCTCCAGGCACTGACTCGAGCTCGCAAAATGGAGGAGGCGGAGGTGGAAGGGGAGGGGGGGGGGGGAGCGCGGACACGCGAAAGGGCCGCCCGGCCGCGGCAGGCGAGCGGGACCGAGCGAGGGGCGGGCGGAGGCGGCGCCACGGCGCGCACACACTCGCACACACGCGCTCCCACTCCACCCCCGGCCGCTCCCCGCCCGAGGGGCCGCGCCGCGGCCGCGGGGAACGGTGCAACCTGTTGGCGACTGTCGGCAACTGCAAGGGCGCCCGCCGCCCTCGCCCCCTCGCCCAGCGTGCGGGGGGCCCCCGCCGCCGGGCCCGGCCCCGACGGCGTCTGCCAGCCCACAGCTCCAGGCATCGCCTCCGCACCGGGCGAGCGCGGCTTCGCCTTCGCCACCCGAGGAAAAAAAAGAGAAAAAAGTGCGGCAGCGGGGTGCCGACCTGGCCTGGGAGGGAAAGCGAGTTTCTTTAGTTTCTCTTCTCCCTGTCTCCTGCCCGCCCCCGCCCAGCTCCGCGGCTTGGAACCGCTCGGGGGGGGGGGGGGGGGTACGGGGGGAACCCGCCCCGTGGGTCCGCCGCCAGAGCCCCCAAGGGTGACAGGCAGCCGGCCGAGCCGCAGGGGTGGTCCGCGGCCGCCAAGCGCCGAGTTGCGCGAAGTGTGTCACACTAGCAGAGGGGGCTCCGGGATGGCACGGAAACGGTGCAGCAGCGCGCCGCGGCCGCTCTCGGGGGGCCGGACGGCAGACACGCCCTCTGGGCGAAGCTTGGGGAGGGGAGGGCAGAGGAGAGGGTCATTGCATACGTACTGTGAGCCCTGGGGGGGGGACTCGCGTGCCGGCAGGTCCCCCACCCCCGCATCGTCTGGGCGGCCCCGTCTGCTGCAGCCGTGCGCGCGCTCACACCGGGAGAAGTTGCAAAGCAGAACCCACCCTCCCCCGCGCCCCGACCGTCCCCCACCCTCTTCCCCGAGTCTGAGAGGCGGCGGCGGCGGCGGCAGCAGGAGGCGCCGCCTGCCAAGTTCAACCCCCCACCACTCCCTCCCCGCCTGCCAGCGCGCTCACACTCGGAGGAAGTTGCACGCCGAATGCAAAACCTCTAGCGAGCAGGATTTCTTTGCACTTTAAAAATTGTGATTAAGGAAGCATGGGGGGTGGGGGGTAGTACTGGGGGGGGGGGGACAGGCTTAGAAGCAAGTTGCAGAGGGACTAGTAAGTTGCTGGAGAAGTCCGCCCTCTTCTTACCCCAAACTCCTGACCTCTCCTTCCACCCCCTTTGGGGCCCGCTTCCAAGCTCCCCGCCGAGGCCCCTCCCCCGAATCTTGACATTTGCTGCCCCAGGCTGGGTGCCTTGCCCAGCCTTCTGGGTTCCAGGGACCCCTCTGGCCCTCCCAATAAAACCAGACACGCAGCTTTCAGCTTTAAAACGGCAGCGTGGAGCTCCCCTCCAGCTGTTCCCGGTCCGCGCCTCCTCCCGGGTCTCCAAGAGAAACACGTGGCCGGTCCCGGGAGGACAGGAGAGGGGCTTGGGGCGAGGGTGACAGTGCAGCCCCTTGGGTGCCAGGCGCATTGGGCAGGCTGGGGCGATGCGGGGACCCTGCCTCGCACACGCTGGGGTTTGGGGCACTGGGAGCAAAGGTGTGGCGGTGTAGCCTGAGGGTGCGGGGGAAGTAACTTTTGTCACCCCCCCACCCCACCCCCAAGCGCGCGCACACACACAGGTGACAGCACTTGGCACTTGTGACAACTAGCCGAGGCTGCCGCGCAGACTCCACCTCATCCCCGCCCGGGCGCGCAGAGAGAGACTGCAGCCGCTCGCCCTGCTCGCCCCGCTCGCACTTGGACTCCAAGGGCGGCCCGCCTCTGCCTGACCCCTTGGAGATCCCTGATTGGGGGAAGCGCGTGCCGGAAGCCGCGCGCCGCCATCTTGGTAAAGAGCGGTGACGCCGCGCGGCCACCATCTTGGCCGAGGGGCTCCGCGGCGTCCAAGCGAGACGCCCCTCCTTGGTTGGAAAGTGTAAACGCTGCCCTGCGCGGCCAGGGGGAGAACGTAGCTGTAAAGCAGGTCCCCTGGGCAGAGATGCTCCACGGTCGCTACCTCCGTGGGGTGCCGGGGCCGCCATCTTGGCAAAGGAACAGAAGCTGGGCACCCCGTAAAGGAAAACTGTAGACCCCTGCGCCAGAAGAGTGTGTGTGAAGAGCCCTTGAGCCACTTGGGGTTAAGGGGAAAAACAAAAACGAAGGAGCCTTTTAAGTCGAGAAGAGAGATTCCTTCCTTCCCAAGGAGGATCAAGTCAACCAGGCTCATAGTGGACACAGAACTTAAACCCATGACTCTACTACTTCTCCTTGTTTGCCAGTTTGCACACCCTCTGAGGGAGGCTCAAGTACTGGAATCAGAGGTCTCGTGAATTTGGTTCCCTAACTATTACCAACAAGATTC